AGTGAAGCCCAACACTTGCAGCAGCACTGGGTCCGAACTCTGGTCCCGCTTCTTCAACAAGAAGGTCACCACCCTGCAGCCGGGCTCGCCGTGCAACGACTTCCGCGGTTACTGCGACGTCTTCATGAAGTGCCGCCTGGTGGACGCTGACGGGCCACTGGCCAGGCTCAAGAAGGCCATCTTCAACCCAGAGCTTTACGAGAACATCGCCGAGTGGATTGTGGTAGGTACAGCTGGACTCAATAGAACCAGACCCAGTAACGGCACAGGTGGCGGAGTAGCCTAACTGGATATAGAAACTGCTCTGGGAGACTGTTGGTGCCGTCGGAAGTCGATTTGCTGTGTAATCACTGTGTGTGTGTGTGTGTGTGTGTGTGTGTGTGTGATACAGGCACACTGGTGGGCGGTGCTGTTGATGGGAATCGCTCTCATCATGCTGATGGCCGGCTTCATTAAGATCTGCAGCGTCCACACGCCCAGCAGCAACCCCAAGCTGCCGCCACCCAAACCCCTGCCAGGTACGTCTGTACACACACATGCGGGCGGGCGGCCGCGTGTTTGGTGGTGCTGTGCTGATGACCTCTCTGCTGCCCCCTGCAGGCACGCTGAAGAGGAGGCGACCGCAGCACACACAGCCCCAGCCTCAGCCACAGCGCCACCATCGACAGCCCAGAGAGAACTACCAGATGGGCCAGATGAGGCGCTGAGGCGGCCGCTCTGTGCCTTGGTTCTTCCTAGTGCCTACAGCAGGAAAACGTCACTCCAAAGAGTCACCAGTTCCAGCCAGTCATCGTCCCCCCACGCCCGGACCCCACTGCACCCTCATTCTCTAAACAAAGCCCACAGCTCAACCCCTACGTCCCATTTCCACCTAACAGTGAAGGATTCAGAATCAAAGTGGCAAACGCCAATACTCCTGGACACCGGGGGGGGGCAGATTTCATTTTCTTTAACTGCTCTCTTCCAAACAGAGAAAAGGATGAGAACCTAACTTATGTATGATTTTTTTTCCCCTCTTATGTTTTATTCCTCCTCCCTGTATTTTAATTTTTTTAAGGAATGCCTCAGAGTCCAGGTCACGGTTTTACTTACATTTTTTTGTTAATGACGTAATGTCCCAGGACAACACAGAATGCAGGTGACAAGGGTGTGTTTTATTTTTTTTTGCTGCCAACCGAGGCCTGGGATTGGAGGGGACCTGCAGCTGGACGTGACTGGATAGCCAATGTAATTAACGTTTGTTAGAGACCAACGACCACATGAAATCCAGGCTTCTTTCTAACACGGATGCTCACCGATCTTCTGTGTGCAATTGTACAGATTGGCAATATGGACTTTTTTTTCCTCATTGTATCATAAGAAGAAAAAAAAAAAAGGCTTTCTCTGCTGTTCGGAGATGATTAACTGTTTTAAATGTCACTCTCAGGATTCGAAAAAATAAGCAGGGGAAGGATGAGAGAAATGGGGTGTTTGAGGAACCGGAAGTAGGATCTCCTGGGAGTCCACGGGTGCAGAATCAGAGGGAGATTATCCTGTTGTATGTCACACATGAGCATCCTGCAGACGCTGGGCTCTGAATCCCTTTCATTTTGGAATAAAGGTAAAATGTTAGTAACGGATAGGAGCCTTTCTTGGGGCAAGTGGAAAGGTTCAGTTTTGAAGGTTTTTTGCGACTTTCACCTTTAAAACGTATAACTTTGCGTGTAGATTGATGTGGTTTTTGGAGAAGCTCATTGTAAGCCAAGTGTTCTCCGGCAGACAGTGGTTTTTACCATAATTGATGTGTCTTTGTTTTGCACCTTGAATATTACTTTTACTCTTAACACAACACAAAAGTCTTGTCAGTGAATAAATGACCACTATATACAGCTGGGTGATGACAGCATCTCTTAATCAGTCTGACTGCATTGGGGGGATGCAGATCATGTGGCGTAATCTTCTGGGACCCGACTAAGCACGTTGCTAATAGGTGAATGCAAGGAGGATAGCTGGGGGGAGGGGGGGTCAGGGGGTGTCGCATCAGTGATGATGGGCAAACATTTTGCTGAAATGGTCAGAAAATGTCAGTATTGTCTTCCCTCTGTACAAACCAAGACTGACTGACTGCCTGCTTCAAACGAAAACTAGACAGTTTAAACTCTGTGACCCCTCCCTCTGTGCTGTGTGTCACGCAGCTTGCTGCTTAGTTACCGAGAACAAACATAGAGTATTTAGGATTTTTTTTAAGACGTACATAAAGAGCAAAAAAAACTAGCATCATTTCTAACACTTTCTTTTCGAGTTTCTAATTCCCCTTTCCATACGGAGATAGAGCAGTTACACGGCACTGGACTCACAGCTGTGATTGGCTGCGGAGTCCATTAGAAGGGTGGTGCATCTATAGCGAGCATCCCTCCCGCCTGAACCACCCAATCAGCTTCTCTGTATTCATGTATGATAGCTGGAGAATATAACTTTCTCTCGATGACATTCAGACGCGTGTTCTGGCACACAGGTCTAACGCTCGGGGCTTACTGGAATATTCCAGAAAGAAATTCATTACATCCTTCTGTGGGCAACAAAAATAATGTAACACATGCTCCCATAGTTCAAAATGGAATTATTTTATTGTGCAAGTTGGCATGGTGGTTTGTTACTGGAAAATATATATTTTTTCTCTTCACCTTTATCGAGATGTGATATCCTTCAAATATTTTTTCTCATTAATGTATTTGTTAATCTGTGGTATGATCTGGGCCAATGGAAATGACATGTTTTCTCCCACAAGTCTCAGTAAGTCTTTGGAAAAAAGTGCACTGAAATGTCCCATGTAAGCTGAAGTATGGTATCTGCTAAGTTGAAAATGACATTAAGACAAGGTCCAGTACTACTGTCTGATTTTAATGTCCGCTGTGTTTTATACAGTATCTGTAATTTTCTGTTTTGTTCACTTGGAAAATTTTTACTAAAAATTGCAAAAGGTATTGTGCAAAGATGTAATTTTTTTGAAGTACTTGAAATGCATTAATAAAAATAGAAATGGACAAAGAATTCCGACAAACTTAAGTTGCCCTGAAATGGCGTTAATTCAATGTAAAGGCGTTTGCCGTCTACAGCGCCCTCTGGCGGACGAGATATAGCTGGAATTAGTTGTCCTCAGTCTTGTAAAACGAAATTGGTTGGATTTCATTTTAACTCGACAGATAATTATCAGTATTTTAACAAGAACTGGCACTGTCTGGTGTACGTTGTACAAATACACTACAAACTGAAAATCGCTGAAAACTACAAAATGAAAGGACATGAATTAACTCTCATTAGTACCCATTTACCCAATGAATAGGAAGTAGAATAGCTTGCATTGATTGTACTATATTAAACAATTCGCGACAATCAACACCCTTACATCTTTCTTACGTAACATTATTATATCCCACAATGACCATTAAATATGTAGTTTGTAGACAGAGAATGTACAACATTTATTAAATGTTGGTCTTAATGCGTTGCTTCCAAGTAGGCTGGGTAACATTTTCAACCAACATCCTTAGAATCCCACATTTCTCTGGATGCGAACCAAGCCAAATATTAGTTTTCATTGCACCTTCTTCGTAGATGGAAGCTGTCCCTTTTTTTTTTAACTTATAAAACCCAACTGCCACTGACCACTCGTTCTTTGAACACAACGTTTTTAACCACAGACAGCCTTTTCTGTATTTTTTTTTTTTCAATTTTTACGCTGGAAAATTCTTAAACTTCCTCAAATCGCAGTATTTTCAAAAACGTGGTTAGATTAACCGGCCATCTCAACCCCACGCGTCCACCTCAAAGAAATTCAGCCCTTTAGAATCCGGGATTACAAATAATTCACTGGGAATTTACTACGACTGATATTAACGGCATAAACCAGTAAAGATCCTACCTTCATTTGGCGATTTATATTTATAGCACCTTGCACGCTTCGCGTCCCGGTTCAAGCGCGTCTCCCTGCCGGGTGCAGAGGGGGGTCCTGACATTTAGCTCGGTTGGCTAAAAAAAACAAACTCTCTTTACACTTGTTGTTTTGCTGTTTCAATACTACATGCAGATTCGGCTGCATCATTTTAACCATGATTCATTCCCGAATTCACTCACGCAACCGAATTCAGTGTCACGCAAACTTTGTGTGGGTGAAGCCGCCGGAAATCCGCGTTTCAGAGGTATAAAGCTGACAAATTAGCGTCGGATATAGCCTACTAACACACTGCCCTAAGCACGCAACATTTATCCAGGCGTGGCTGTTCGGTAACGATACTTATGTGCCTTTAGTTGTAAAGGCAAATGTGAACCGGCATAGGGGCGATGGATGCGGTTAATATTCCCGAAATGGTATACTAGGGGTCATGGCTGAGATCTGCCCTGTACCCGTGAATCACAGAGCAACAGCGCCTAAAACGTAATGGAAATAAAATATGAAACCTACTTCTGATGGGATTTTAGATAAAACATTCAAGAACTTTATTTTTTTTGACAAATCACCTCAAATAATTTATGGTGTGTTTCCATACCTATATAACACGGATTTTCTGGTTAATATGTATTAAACCTGAATTATGTAACAGGTTACGTGATGAAGCGAGAGTGAAGACTGCCGTGTAGGACGGCCGACGCCGCACAGCCCGCAATAATCATCCTGCAACCCGCAAATCCTCATCTGAATTTGCTTTGTTCTCAGTCTTTGTCTTCGTGAGCACGCTGTATGGCAAACTACACGCCATGCGTCGTTAGTCTGAATCTCAAAAGTAAATTCATACAAATACGAGGCCCTAGATTAATTTGATGGAAGGGGAATTTTGGATGTTAGTATTCAGCAGCTGCTTTCCAGGACAGATGGAAGTTCCTGTAAGTTTCTCAGCCTTCCTAGGCAAATTCTGCAAAGCGTAATGTATAATTCAAGTCTGTTTAAAATGCAAAATCCCAGAAGCACATTTATTAATTTATAACACGGGTATGGTAAGTGGCATTTTGAAAACATGGACAGGCGCCAGAAGGCTTAAAGGCACAGGATCTCTCAGATTCCGCGAGGATATGGCACCCAAGGGCTCGTCTTGTTGTTACCGGTGTTTTGTGCAAGTTCTGCATCCGCATTCTTGCATTGCTACGTGAGTCAGAGTGCGGAGCAGCTGGGCCCCCGCTCGCTGCTGTCAGCTGGGCCCCCGCCCCTTCTGGCCGCTTTGCTCGCAGCGCACAAACACCTTCTCCTGGGACGGAGGGATGTGAATTACATCGTTCGTCTCAGCGCAGAACGACGTCCTGAAAAAAAATATTTTAAACAGCATCAGATCGCTTTTGCAGTTCATTGCAGCTGTCATTTAACGTGATATTCCATTACGAGTGACTTTGAAATCATTATTTGTTAATGTGATTTTGTACATTTTTTTTGTGTGCCATGCATTACTTTCCCAAAAGTTTTCAAACAAACGTATGTGGTAAAATTCTGGGTACATTTAGATACTATATTTTAATATTGTATGTTGGACTTGTTGGAGTAATGTTAAGTTTTTAACACGTCAAATATTTATTTTTATATTTATTTACGCTGCAAAATTTCGACAATACATTAAACGGTGATATAGCCATCCGTCTTTTATAGGCATCCGTATTCTACCACATAGATTTTAAATAAGCCAAAAAGCATGTGTTATGTGCTGCTGCATATTAAGCTGTAAAAGATACATTTAATGCACAGTATAACTTCAACGAAGCAATTTCATAGCCATTTTTAAAAGTGTTACACAATATTCTTTATGATACCTTTATGTAATTCGTACGGCTCCTATATACACACATCAGCCGAACGTGGGGTATGACTGCAAGTTTAAATTCTATAATCTTCATAATGTAATCTCCCTGCACGACGTGATTGTCAGGGTAATTACCTACAGAACACACGTTTTTAGGGATATGCCAATCTGAATTCTGCATGGTTTGCACCATGGTTTACACTATTCTGTGCATATCGCTCTTTGAACATTTTCACCGCAATTCCGCATTGATATCGGTCGGTGTGAACACTAGGGGGAGGTGAATGAACACGTTACAGGTGTATTCCTGCACTTGGCAATATTTTCTCGGAAAAAAAGAGAAGCAGAGAACAATAGCAATCCCACACTGAATCAGAAATGAGACACATTAACGGTATTTATGAGATATTACACTTAAGTGCACAGAATATTAGCTAAACAAATTTAAAGACTTCGGGTAAGAATTTTGCGCCAAGCTTGACGTGCTGGTGTTTGTTGTTTTAATAGCAATGTAACTGTGTTGTGTAGTAAATGCAAAGTGTCCATTGCAGGAGGAAGGAGCTTCCATGCACCTCAGTTTGTCCAGCCACCGTATCTGCCTGCTGTATTTGTTGAGTGAGAACCCCTGGTGCTGAGTGCAGGCTGACAGACGCCCACGTCTGACCTTTGTCATTAAACGCCACCTGGCTTTCTTTGTTTCTGCTGTTTTCTGACCCAGCAGTTTGTAATCACTCAGCTGAATGGTCCCGGGGCTGCGGAATTCTGGGTCACCGTCTCCAAATGATCGAAGGCTATGTCCTGAACACGGTGTAACTGTGTACTTTTGTCCCTGAGATGCTTGTCTGCCTGCCTCCCAGTCTAAATCACTGCAGCGATCAGCCCAAATTAAATGACTGAAGGAGTAACTTGGACTCACAGGTTGCCATTCAGTCCACTAAGCATGGTACTGCCTGTATATTTAAACAGCTAAAAGAATAAAATGGTGAGCATGGCTGAAGTTCTGCACTACATGCCAGCTAGGGTGAAAGCGTATGGCGTCTCTACCTACTTCATCTGCGTCTCCCCCGCCTTAACGCGGATCTTGCCCACGGTGAGCTCGGGCCCCTTGCGGCGCAGGTGCCAGGGGATGATGGTCTGCATTTTGCTCCACATGTTCGCCCACACGGCGCTGCCCTCCCAGCGGAACCGAAGCGTCATCAACTCGCCGATGTCCTTGTCCAGCGTGATCAGGAAGGTGTACGTCTTGTTCCCTGAGATCTCCTCGATACTGGGAGACGTGGGACACAGACCAGCTCAGCATCTTGACAGTTGTTACCATGTGTGAGGGGTAAGACCCCGTATCCTTAATTAGAACGAGGTTTTAAAAGGCAGGACCCTTGATCTGTGGAGATCTGCGCTCGGTTAGTGACCCGTCGTGCTGTGGCACCTCCTCCTGTTGCTGTACTTTAACAAGCTCAGTACTTGCAATGATCCCGCTTAGCACATAACACAGACAGACACTGGTGTCCACATACTGCCCATTAACAGTGAATTAGGGATTCAAAACTGTACAGAGCAGGAGTAACGCATTCTACGTGAGATAAAACACGCCTCGACGTCACAGGCTGCAACTGTCCGGTTATTAATGGACGGGAGTTGGGCCTTGGGAGCGCACTGTGCATTAGTGACCCCCGTCGCATTCCTCAGCCGAGAGCAGCCCAGTGCTAAGAAACGGGCGGCAAATGCTCACAAGGTAATGGGCAGATTTTCGCTCTCTTCCTTGGTCCCAGTGAGGGAGATGGTGAGGGATGGCTCGATGCGCTCGATCTGGTTGATGAATTGGATCTTGAATTGATAGTGATAAACTGCAGGAAGGTAGAGGATATATGAGTTACGCTACTCATCCGAGCAAGGTAAGATATGCTAGTGTGCGGCTGAGGCTAAGCTGCCGGGATCCAGGCCGCCTGCAGGGGGCGCACTGACCTTTGTAGGGCATGCGCGAGCGCGTCTTCAAATAGAGGCGCCGGCTGCTGCGGCCCGTGCGCACCTTCCGGATGTTGTAGCCCAGCGTGTTGCAGCGGTTCTTGCGGCAGTCCAGGCACATGCCCTTGTTGAAGGAGCTGTCATCAAGGCAGCGGTAGGCGGTGCTCTGCATGTCCTCGTTCAGCAGGGAGTCGATGAAGAGGTGGACGGCGCGCTCGTGGGCGCACTTCATGGTCTGCTGAAAACCTGCCCCAGAAAAGGGGAAGATGGGGGCGCAAAATCCACCTCTGAGCTGACATACATCGCTCTCAGGAAAGAAAATGCTACAGAAACAGATGCCTCAAGTGGCTCTTTTAGAAACGTCATCTTTCCCTGTTTTTTTTTTCTGGATTTTAGTTCTTTTTAATTGTCCACTGCATTTAACTAGCTGCCGTACCCTTGGTAAATGTCAGCGAGCTTTAATCACTGTCTGCTAATGACTATCTGTCAGGCTGTCTGTCACACTGTACCACGCACAGATCCGCGGAGCAGTGCGGCCTCACTGCATATGACTCACAGCAAATGCTCACCACCTGGGGGACACTCCGGAGCCCTGGCTAACGTGAGCTATTAATGGCGAGACTTAAACGTGACCTGATACACAGTGTACACTTGGTATGAATCTGTAGGCATGTACTTAAATAGGATATTTAAAAACTACTTTAAGATTCATAAATGACTCAAAACAAGAGTCCATTGCATATACCGGTAAATGAATTGAGGTGAATTATTATTTTTTATAAAAAGTTGTACAAATATAAATATAGTGACACTGCAAAGGTGACACTGACTGAGAAAGTGACACTGCCTGTTTGCTTCATGAATAATGACAGTAAGAGCATAATAAATGATAAATAAGGAGCCATGACAAGCACAGTAGTTCACATCTAATCAGCATCTGTACACGTTTCACACTCTTATTGTCTTCAGGATCTCATCTGCACACTGCAGAAGCCGTCTGCTCCGCACATTTGGATGCCACACTTTATTTATCTGTTTACATGTGAATTTATTATTTGCACATCTTTATTCCTGTTTTACTAACTATATATTACTTTTATTCTATTTATTATTTTTTGTATTTTGGTTTCCATTTTATGTTTAATTGTATGTTTAATTCTTTATGTCATGCCACCACCTGCACCAAAAGAAATTCCTTGGAATTTTTGTGCTTGGCGAATATTCTTATTCTGAAACTGGACATGTAGCCAGATAGCCTGTAGCTGCTTAACAGGGCGCCGAACTGACAGTGTTTAATGCTGATAACGGTGTTTGAGAATGTCAAAATCAGCCTGCGCCGCCCTTTGGGGGGCAGAGAGTAATGCAAGCAGGGGTATAATGTGTTTGCATTCAGCTACGCTTTTCATTTTCTTTTGCTGCACTAGGCCTCAGTTGACGCGGGGCTGTTTCTCGCTGAGATGTGACGTACCCCGAGGTACCATCACAACAATGTGGAGTTGAGACATCCGGATAATTATCACGGCCGGATGACAGCTGCATTAATGTGCCTCTGCCTGCCTGCCAGAGCCCCAGATCTGACTGACAGTCTTACTCACAGCCTCATTTCACTGGCAAATATTCGGCCTTGTGTCTGCAGCACATATGTACCAGGGCGATGTGGAAAACGGAGACGCGGGACAGGAGGAGGCCTGAGGACGGCGTCAGGGAACACTGGGGCCCCCAAGAAAAACAAACAAAACAGATTCTTCAGCAAATCAAGCCTGAACATTCACTGGAAGCACCAGCGACTAGACTGAAGCCGACTGGACCTTATTTTTCGACATACTAGGAGAAGATTGGACATTGGAGAAGGACGATGAGCAACAAGGTGGATCTTCCTGACCTGGACATCACTTTGGACGCAAGTGTCTGTCAAATAAATGTAATAAGAGATGCTTTATTGATCCCCGTGAGGGAAATTCTCTCTACGCCTCCCCCAACTTGCTCTCTGTAGGTGAGAGAAAGCTGACTGTGAAGAGCAGCACCCAGGGAGCTGGGGGCTAAGGGCTTCGCTCAAGGACCCGCAGATGTGCCGAGGCCGGGCTCAAACCAGCAACCTTCTGACCACAGGCACAGAGGCTTAGCACACTGAGGAGACACTGAGGAATAACACCGTCCACCGTCCAAATTATTATTATAAAATAATAATTATATTAGCTCAAGAAAGCTGAGAAGTGCAGCATGGAACGGTACTATAAAATATATTAGCGTGTAGCTTCCTTAGCATGGTTTACAAAGAAAGCGGATGCAGAACTTAAAAACCCAGGCTGAGAAGGTAACGCTGAACATCTCACAAGGAATGAGTGAGCCGGCCGCCATCATGGTACGTACCCAGCAGTCCGTACTGGGTCAGGTGCTCGTACAGGTTCTGGATGTGGCAGCCTGGTTGGAAGGTGCCACCGTTGGGGTAGAAATCAAAGTGAGCCACAGGCTGCTTGATGCCCACACTGAGCCCCATGTGCTCCTGGGTGAAGGTGTGGATGGCGTCCACAAAGCTGGCATCATCCGGTGACAGCCTGTCTGTGTAGGACATGCCCTCGAAGAGCGGACCAGCGGGGTCCAGGCCTGGGGGGTCAGCGAGAAGCAGAGAAAGCGTGAGTCAGTCCTGCAACATCAGCACAGCATCTGCAAGGCAGCCCACAGTGGGCAAATACTGACACGAGTGGATAGCTTTAACAATCAGAGCTGGCTTCTACATCATAACGCAGAAATTCACCTGCATTTGGAATCTCAAGGGAATACAAGACAATTTTATTGAGCTAAATGCCACAAACTGACCGGTATCTAGATGAACATATCTAGGTCTTGTAAGCTGACACTAATATTTTGTATATTCATTGTCTGAAAGTTTAGTTATGGGATCAAAAGCTGCTGTACAATAAAACAATTAAAAAGGCGAAATATCAATTTAACACAGATTTAAAATGTTCGATAAGGTGAAACAATCAGATTTTGCAGCTGTACTACTACTGCATTGCAACCGTTTTTTTTTTTTTTTTTTTGTCTTTTGTACAAATAATCTTCTGGAAAACACACTCTGCTATCTTGCACGAAAAGATCAAACAACATGCTCTGCTTTTAATCCCAAGGCTTCTGTTGGACACGCCCCTTGCATTTGATTGGTTAGGATACATCATCAGATAATATGACCACGGTTAGGGGAAGGGGCAAAAGTGAGCTTACTTTCAAGATTTGCATGGAAGATAAATCTATTATAATTATGGAGATTCATTCTGAGGGACATTTTGAAAAAAAAGATGCAGATTTCATATTCTTTCTTCAAAAATGTTCAAACAACACCTTTAAAACACCAGTCTGCACAAAGTACTCTAATAGGAAATCCAGTAGGCCTCACAATGGATGAGAGCTCCCTCACCTGTAATCCGCCCGATTTTTCTCAATCCCGTTAAGTAATTCCCTGTGAATCCGGCAACGTGAGCCCCCAGGCTGTACCCGATCATGTGCACCTTATCCGTGGTGAAGTTGGAACTTTCCTTAAAACCAAAGACAGATGCATGAGGCCAACAGATATTCACTGAGCTACAGTATGATTCTGCATGAGAGACACAGTTATGGTTCTTTCAGAAAGTAGCAACAATTATAATTCAGGCTAAAATTAAAACCATGAAATGTGTGTGCTGACTGGGATAAGTAATTGGGAGATGTGCGCGTCACCAGATCTTTCCAGGGTGATGTCATCACTACGACGTCATTCGACTTTTTAATTACTGCTGATGAGGTACAGGTGGCTGTCCTCGGGTTGGCCCACTACCTCCAGCCATTCCAGCAGGTATGCCATCTCCTGTCCCACGTGCCGGGTGTTCATCGCGGCGATCGGGTAGTGCTGCTGGGCAAGAGGAAGCCAGTCCCCGATCATCACGTTCACGTCCCTCAGTGTGGTCTTCAGAGCCGTCGCCAGGTTTGCCATCCATTTCTCTAACTTCCCATCCAGCTGGAATAGGAATTGTCACATTCACCCCACAGTGAGCCAAGGCCGACATGCACCATGTAGTTATAGCACCAGGGGCTTGTTTACATTGAGACTAGAGAGAAAATCTGCAGCCTTACATACATGCAGTTACAACTGTTGTTGATTATGGTTCATTAAATTGGTTTGTTCGTTCCATTAAAGTGGCATGTTTTGATAGCACGGAGGCCCAAAGGAAATTGGGCAGCAGTCGTACCGACCACCCGTGGATGATGATGACCAGTGGGTGACTGGAGTTGAAACCACAGGAGTCGAGAGTTTGAGGCTGGAGGGCCCGGATGGGGCACAAGTCTTCCAGTGAGGCCCCTACGTTGAACATCCAGAACCTGGACACGGGCTCATAGGGGATTTGCGGTTTGGCGGGTCTGTGGGTCCTGAAGAACTCTGCTGAACAAACCCACAGTCGCGCAAAACACAGCACATAAAATATCAAGGATTAAAAAAATAACAAAGCACTAAACACAATGGTGTTCAGATCTGGCCAGACAGAGCAAAGCAAAAGAGATGATGGCCACAGGTCATGTTCAGTGTTGGTGATGTTACCACTGCTAAATACGAAATAGAGCTTAAAACGAAGCTGAACAAATATCAGCCTTTGCCTGGTTATCTACGGCTCCCCGGGCACAACGTTAGGCTGCGATTTCCAGCTGTGCTCCTCCCGGTTCCAGAAGGGCAGCACTGCAGGAACCCAGTCGCTTAAAAATTGAGGTAATGAAAGTCACAATGGCGTAATCCCCTCTAAGCGACCCCCATAAGTAAATGAAAGGGTTATCGTATTCGGTAGCTGGTTGAGACCGTTTTGCCATCGGTAAAGCACAGGCAGAAAAAGTCAACGTACCCTGTGTGCTTCTGTGCATTTGACCTCTCCTGTTTCATTCTGAATGCTCACTGCTCCCTGCTATGGATCCCTCTCCTGTCTCACTCTCCTGTGCCACACTTCTGTCTCACTCTCCTGTTTCACTCTCCTGTCCCACTCTCGTGTCTCACTCTCCTGTCCCACACTTCTGTCTCACTCTTCTGTGCACCACGTAGTTCCAAATCTGTCACTGATGTTGTCCTTGCAGGCCGTTATCTCACTGTGGGCCGTTGTGTTGATGGCTGGTTTAATGTTTAATGCTTATCTACCTGCAGGCATTAATCACAGAAGCTGTCCAGACTCCGGCTGCAAGTTAGCATTTCTTGTTGGACAATGTGATTATTGTTAGTGTGTATTTAAAATTTGGTTTCCTCAGTAAGACTTTTACACAGGATTATAGCAGAGGTATATGCAGCCCTCACCTTAATGCTATTTGCTGGTATGATGTTAAAATTAATTTTTAAATGCACTCTGGGGCCTGAAAAAAACAACACCCTATACATTGTTTCATTCTAACACAAGAGTAAGGGGTACAGGGCACAGGGCTGGGGTATACCCTGAATGGAATGTCAGTCTATCACAGGGCTGGGGTATACCCTGGATCGGATGCCAGTCCATCACAGGGCACTGGGCTGGGGTACACCCTAGATGGGATGCCAGTCTATCACAGGGCACAGGGCTGGGGTATACCCTGGATGGGATGCCAGTCCATCACAGGGCACTGGGCTGGGGTACAGCCTGGATGGCATGCCAGTCTATCACAGGGCTGGGGTATACCCTGGATGGGATGCCAGTCTATCACAGGGCTGGGGTATTCCCTGGATGGGATGCCAATCCATCACAGGGCACAGGGCTGGTGTACAGCCTGGATGGCATGCCAGTCTATCACAGGGCACAGGGCTGGTGTACAGCCTGGATGGCATGCCAGTCTATCACAGGGCTCACACTCCAAGGGATATTTACAGATGCCAGCCAGTTTGAGTGCATGTCTTTGGATTGAGGGAAGGAACGCAAATACCCAGACACAGCCACATCACATGGGGAGAACATGCAAACTCTCCACACTCACACAGGGAAAATCTAAATAAATTTACATAGATAAATGATCTTTTTATCTTTCCTTTATGAATTACACTGGGCCCTAAGGCACCACATAATAAACATTATAATATTAGTATTACATTTTTTCTCAGTACTTTAGCAAGATCTGGGGGGGGGGAGTTAGTGTTTGAATTTATGAAGAAGATTCAAACTCCAAGAAAAATAAAATGAAACAGGAAAACTCACCATTTTGTACTCCCCTTGTCCTTTTCGCATCACACAGGTGATATAAGACAATAAGGAGGAAAATCAAAACTTTCACAGCAGCCATGATGCCTCCCAGGATGCCCTCCTCTGGGAGTGAAAGGAGAGATAGCAGAGAGCTGTTACTGAGCTGAAAACCCAGATCGCCCTCCAGGTAGGCTAGTTTGGCTGGAGCTGAACTCACCCTGGAAAAGGCTGCAAACTACTGGGGGAGGGAGCAGAGGTGGCCACTGGGAACGGGCAGCTGATCCTGATTGGTCACCGGGCAGCTCATCCTGATTGGCCACCAGGCAGCTCATCCTGATTGGCCACAGCTCTTGTCGGGTCACCTTGCGAAAGAATTATAGGAAAAAAGAGGCAGTAAAGTCGGACAATCTTTATGTTTGTTTCTGGGCTAATGACCTTCAAAACTCAGTGTGATCAGTCCTGAGAAAAAACAATCAGTGGATTCCCAGTGCTGCGTATACTGGGAAATCAGGTCAGTGTTTTCGTTGCCTTATTTCTTTTGCGTATGGAGTATGGAGTTCATTAAATTTGAAATTGTCTGAGTTTTCGGAGAAGCATCTGTTTTATAGTTCACAGTTATACCTGAGCCAATACTCCAGCACCCAACCAGAGCAGAACTTCCCAGTCTCCCACCTGGTAATACTGGCTGGGTGTTAGGTGGACCCTGTGCCAGGCACCCGGGACGAGATGCCCGTCTTTGCCGGGCAGTCAGAGTCACCCATCAGCCTAACTGCAGGTCAATGAAACGCCAGCAACACAGGAGGAACATGCAAACTCCACACTCAAGGACGTGCAACTGGGACATGTGACAACAGTGCTGTCCACTGGGCTGACATTCCAGTGCCACAAAATACACTGCAAATGTCAAAAAGCAACGGAAAATCAAAAAATGCATTTTATTGTGACATCTTTGAAAAATAACCCGTCCCAAGTCAGCGTGTCCTTCAGCAGGCAAACCCCTGACCTTAATATGCAAATTAAAAAACATCCGTAGATAGTATCATTTATTCTCTGCCTTTCAATGAAGCCAACAGTCGGTTAAAATGATTTAAAATATAGGAGTTATTTTAAGATCACTATACAATAAATAGCTAGATATTAATCACTTGAAATACTGTGTGGCTCAATAGTGGTTATTTTGTAACATTTTAGCTTCAGTTTTAATAGTCTATTGTGCAGCATATACTGAAATGTACATATAGCAGTGTGACGTCTCTCCTGTCGCACAAAGCGGAGGTCTGCAGTTCTGTTGACTGCCTTCTGTCCGTGACACTGAGAGAAGCTTCATGCCTTTGAATGGTCCTGAATGGGGATATAGGGCTCGTTCTGTGGGCCCCTGGAGAAGCACGTCCACATTTGGCATAAGCATCCATATGTGCTTATTAAACTGAAAATATGTGCAATGCCAGTGAACAGGTTGGACTCGCTTATCCATAGAAAGGTTTATTTTCTATTCTCTACGTTTTAAAATATTTATAAAGACATTAGACCTGTAAAATAACACATATGGAATTATGCACAGACTAAAAAAGTATTCAAAAAAAAATAAAAATTCTTAGCCATGAAGAGACAGTGTGGGAAGGTTTGGGTGTTTCTGTATAAAGAATAATGTCTGATTTTAACACTGTAAGATTGTTTATGTCAGAGAAGGCTATCAATTTGGAGAAACCATGAAAATATTTGTTTTTATTTCCCATACCGTTCAAATACAACTTTTAGTTGACACATTTAACTGAATAATGCGTGTGATTTTCCTCTGGGTGCTGTGTTTTTCAACCACAGTCCAAACAGATTAAATGTCCTTGCAGATCGACTGCCCAGAATGTGTGTGTGAGTGTGTTAAAAAGTGAAACTGTAAATAAGCATTAATACGCCTTCCTATAATTCTATGGAAAATGATTAGTGAGGAAAACAAATTTTAAAGTATCTGCGCAGTCCCATGGGAAATGCCCCCCCCACCCCACCCCCCAACAACCCTGGATACGCTGAAGGATAATAATATGGAAACATATGTAAATTAGCAGTTTAACTGTGATGATGAAACGGGTAAACAATGCATGAAGGCATCTCCTAAATAAATAACATGCTGTATTTCACTGTACCTAATAAAAAACTCCTCAGAGACACAATCTCTATATCCTCTGTTACTTCAGGGTTTTTCAGAGAGTTTACTCACATTTTGCTCTCTCGGGGGAATGATATTTTGGTTCATTTCATACACTATAAACACTCCTGCTGACAGATTTTTGTCAGATGGTTCAGCAACACAAATTTCATAGGAAGGAAATGCATTATTCTGCTGGTGCACTAAACCAACGAGAGGAATGTCATTTAATGAGGCGCTTTATGAACTTGGAGCTGAGGGCAAACGGCAAAGAACAAACAGAATATGTGGAGTGTACCTTTGGCTCTTCAAACAAAACAGCACCTGTTTGTAGTATGGCGGGATGTAGGTCCAAACCACTCAAACATCAGACCCCAGCCAAATGCATCACCTACTTGATGGGACACCGTCCAACCACAGCTGTGCCCTTCTCGAACCCTCAGATGGGACTTCATGTATAGACAATGCGGTATATAGCATAATGTACTACACTCAGTTCAGATATCTTAAAATACTCCTCTTGCAATTTAAACAGATGAGATTTTCCTCTTACTTGGGCTCGAATCAGTAGTTTTCTTCTGTAATGATCATTCCTACCAGCACTCTTGTTCCTGTGCTCCTGGTAGCACGTAATACCTGATATAATACCGAAGTCTCTTAACTCTTTGCTGTACCACTAAGTGAATGCAGCACACCAGCTGGCTGGCTCTGCCTCTGTCTCTAGGAGTTCCCAGGTTACCCAGCATCCCTTGCTGTCTCTTCTGTTCTAATGGTGTGACCTTTGTAAACGATTCATTCGTGGGATACGAGTCCCTTTCATCAACAAATCAGTCACTTTCACTCCCCTGCAAAGATTCATTCTTTTCTTTCTTCCGCTTGTCCTCAGAAAAGCTGCTTCCCTCCTTGACTATGGCCAGTGAGAGCCAGTGGGGGATGTAAGGGCGTGTTGTAAGCAAGCATTTGATTGGTTGGAAACTAATGCTGGGACTAAGAATTTAACAAGAATTGGTAATGAGAGACTCCCTCTCTCAACGACATGAGTAAGTGAGTCGGAGACTCCGATTAGCTACCTCTCAGTCATGAATGAATGAGAAACCCAAAGGAGTGAATGATTTGGTGCGTGAGTGAGTGAGTCTTTTGGTAACTCCTTCAGGTTTCGTCAACAGAACCTCTACATCAACTGAACCTCTATGGCAACAGAACCTCTATGTCAACACTCAACTTATCTGCCTATCCTGTGCTCACAGTCTCACTGTCAGTCTTACTTCTTGTTAAGCTGCTGTCCCATCTAATTTTCTAGGTACAGATTCATCAGCATAACGAAGGTTGTTGAGGTTCTTCTTCTTGTCATCAGTTCACAGTTACCTTCCTCCAATCCAACTTCTCTCATTACATGTCCTCTGTACAAATTGAATAGATGTGATCATAGCAAGTATCATTTTCTAAGAATGTCACCAGTCTGGAACCCCTCACTTTCCCCATAAAATGCTCCACACACTTGAATGACTGACCCACTGCAGTGTCAAAATAAGCAAAGAGCGCATCTCAAGAAACATGGGAGAACATGTGGCTACACTCTGAGTGGCACGTTCACATGCACAGTTAGGTACGATTTAGAGACACCAGTTCTCTATCAGATGTGTGTTTGGCTCATGGCATGCAACACAACAAACTCAGAGCCATGGTGGAACTCAAACCTACAACCTAGAAGGTATGAAGCCAACCTAACATTTTGCTCTGCACACAGAAACACTATAGATTGTTATCATTATATATAATCAACATGTCCAACACACTCAACTGCACGTCATCATGATACAGGGTGTGACCCAGCGCAGTGGATGTTCTTCCAAAGTGGATTTCTCACCATTCTGACAGGGAACTTCCAGCAATCTTCATCTTAGAACCACCACAACCTGTGACACTGCAGGGGCGTGACGCGTACGTGTTGTGGGATTCATATTTATGGGATTCAAATGTCTTGCGGGATTCGTATTTAAGGGACTCAAATGTCTTGCGGGATTCATATTTAATGGACGCGTACGTGTTGCGGGATTCGTATTTAATGGACG